CTTTTATAAAACATGTATAAACCTTTTTTTGGAGACAATTATATTAGCAAATTTGTTGCAACGACAGAACACTAATTAGTGGAATAAATATTATATGCACAGCTTTTATAAAATGGTTTTATAAGGTGCGCCTATTTTGGATTTATAAATGATTATTTAATGCTGAATAACTGTTCTCAACATCTTTTAATAAAGCTTTTATCTGCGGGAGAGTGGTTATATAGGTATTCTTAAAGCTATTATAAACTTATTTGTGCTACTTGTGTGGTACTTTATATCTATACCACTGGTCTGAGTAAAAACTTACTTTTTTTTAAGGGAAAATAAGGAAAAATGAGTAGAATACGAATAGGTACGCGATTTAAAAATTTTTAAAATGTATATTTACACTGAAAAAAATTGTTTAAATCATTATTCAAACCCTTTTTCGAACTGCTCCCGACCGCTGATCCAAAAAGTTTTATCGAGAGTGAATCTTGACCCACAGTATTATTCGGTCATTAACCTAGTCTTTACTGCGTTTTTAATGCTTATTGAGCGACAAGGAACAAACAGATCTTTTTACCTAGACACGTGAATGAATAAGATATTATTTTACATTTTAGATATTAATAAGTATTATTATTTATCTGTTAATAAAAACAATGGTATAACGATAATACCTTTTTTTCGAATGGTTGATTATTACAATTTAATATTTTTAATACTGATAACGTTCTCACCATGTTTTATAATTGAATGAGTTTTTGTATTATGTTCAATTGATTATTCAGTTTGAAGTGACTTATTGCTTTGCAAAGAGTACTATTTAAAATGCCAGTACGGCTAAAACAACACTCATCCGTCAATAGCACTTTGTTAGTAAGTTGGGATCTGCTGCACTTTGATTTTGAAACCCATTGCAAAATTCAAGATGACTGGGGAAATTTGCTGTTTCGCTTCAACAATCGAACGTTCTGTGGTCCGCCGGTGTGTTTCCGGTAAGAAAATGTGATGCAAAGTAGGGAGCCGAATTAGCCGGAGTTAAGGGGCAATTTGCTTATCTTTTAAAAGGTTAAGTAGAATTGTTTTCGCTTTTTTCCCTTTATTAGGCCTTCCGAATATTACTTGGTTGAAATGAATTACATTATGACTAAATCGCCTTGTATTTGTTCAGAAGAGATTTAGATTTGCAGGGTGTTTTGGAAAAAGTACCACAAATTTAATGACCTACTGAATTAAATCAAATTAGATTTTTCGTTATGTTTTTTGTTGTGAGACACAGCGCGTCAAAGAATTTTTAAAATCAAATTTTCAAAAAAATAGCACAATGCATTGAAATTTGAGATGGCTAAATTTTCAAGGATAATACATGCGTTCGTGTGTTAGTTTTTGACTAATCTACTAGAGATCGCCAGCTACGACCCTACCCCTACGGCAGTTCAAGACAATTATTTTTCTTGAGGTTTCTCTTTACAGTACCTATATACCGTATGTTATAATGTAAAACTTCGTATTTTGAGAAAACGCAACTAACTGAGCAGCATCTATTCTTTAATATACAGGGTGTCCCGAACCAAATGGGCCATATCAACAGCGAAGTTACCAGCAGCCTCAAAACCGTACACAGACAGGTACACACTAAACTAAACTAAACTAGACTAAATTTCATTATTTTTTGAAAAATATATGACAAAAATTAGATTTTAAAGAACCATATTTGATGCCCTGTATCTAAAAAACAGAAGACGATCAGTTCTTAGTCTATAAGAAAAATCGTCTAATTTTTCTGTTCTATCAGCCCCTGAATTTACGGTAAACTTTTCCAATAAGACCATGTATAACATTTTTTTGTTTTTGACAACTTGAATATTCTGTGTTCCAAAAAGACCCTGTGTAACATTGTTTTTGTTTTTGACAACTTGATTATTCTGTGTTTCAAAAAACAGCTTCAAATACAATTTTATACAGGGTGGTCCTAATTTTATGCAGGAAACTTCGAAGGCAGATAATAATGTTTTTGCCTGTGTTGAAGTTATTACAAAATATTTTTTGTTTATATCTCAGGAATATATTAATCGATCTCAATAAAATTTGGTACAGATAATCTATGATAGTAGGCCTTGCATTCCCTAAAACATGAGCTCTAAAGGTACAACCAGTGATGTACAACTGGGCAGGGGTCATCTCGTTTTTTTATAAAAAATCCTATGCCACTGCATTTTTTTACAAGTTGTTGTAACGGATTTATATTCTAATGCACAAAATACATAAAAAACGAAACTTGAATTTTTTTCCCCAAGATTTGCCGTTTTCAAATTATTCATACCAATACGATCCCCTTGTGCAGACATTTCTAACCATAATATTACAAGAATATTTTTGTTTATGCCCAAAAGTAAATGGAATTTGTAAGCACATCAACAAAATTTTTTACACTCGTTTCCACACTACCTGTGAGGTAGAGTTCTTTACGCGTTATAGTTTTCCCTGGAAGCATAACTCCCTATCTTTACAAACAAGAACAACTTAAATCATAATAATAATAATAATAAATGTACATTTACCAAAGGCGAGGGGTAGTGAATTTTCAGAATCTGCATATTTGGTGACAAGAAAGTCCTCATGAAATTCGGACAAGATCTTTTCAACACGAATTTTCTGTTAACATGTGGCTTGGAATAATTAGCAATAAAGTTTATGGACCTTTCTTTTTGCCACCCCGTCTAAATTCCCAGTCATTTCTAAACTTTATAGAAAACCATCTATTTGAATTATTACAGGATGTTCCATTAAATATACGACAAAATTGCTGGATACAATGGATGGTGCTCCTGCGCACTCTGGGAGAATAATATAAGAAAGGCTTAATGAAAATTATATGGGGCGATGGATAGGAAGAAGACCATAATGGTGCAGAGGGTCCAGTGTCTTGGCCAGCCAGATTGCCATATCTAAACCCTCTGGACTTCTATGTTTGGGGTTATCTGAAAAGTAAAGTTTATTCTACTCACATACTTCTATCCTATACTGATCATTACCTATAGTTTCAATGGATGACCTTGTTTCCAAAAAGTGGGGGCGAAACGTACTCCGTGTGTTTTGCGCATGTTCCATAATTATGCGCGGTTGCATTCAAATTTAAAATATTGTCACGGTTTACTCTGTACTATAGTCGATTATATACATATAAGATATTAAATCTATTTTCACCGAGTTCACTTCAATTTCTAAATGTTTACTTTTTTACAATTTTCTTCTGAGTCCTCTATCGATAGGCTAAATCGATCTAACACATTATTTTACTATTTATTAATTTCAATAAATAACGTAAGTATCTGCATAACCTATTTAATATGTTGCAGGCTCAAATAAAATAAAACAGCATACAAATTTATATGCTTTTAAAACTATACATAGGCATGTTCGTAATTTTGGACATTTTTTTAAATGACGTTGGTGTATTTATTAAACAAGACTTAGTACTTCAAAAAATCGCCACTATTCGCTCTAGCCGGGCACAACTGACAATAATTTTTTTTTATAAAAAAAAGTTTATTATATAATTATTTATTATAGTGGTTTCTGCAGTTTATTTGATAATATAAAAAAATATGCTATAAAATATCTGTAAGGGACCAATCCGATAATAATGTCCACGATTAAGGAAGGCCTCTTATCGAGCATAATTTTGAAACATTTTTACTAAATATCAACACAAGATAAATTAATAGAAGAATTAGTGCAGTTTTAAACAGATTATGAAATAAAACTCAAGAGATACATTTATTTATTTATTTATTAAAATATACACTATACCATAACAGTTTCACCAAAGCACAAGCATAACACAAAACAAAATGAGAATATTTTTGAGGTTAGTTTGGTTTGACTTTTTACCGCTCGGTGCTCACCGTTCACACCTTTCATGGTTCCTTTCAACCAATCAAAACCCGTAAAGTAAACGCATGCGTATGAATACGCTGGTATGTCGTCCCACTTTTCGGCTTCAATTCAATTGCAAAATGATCAGTATAGGATAGAAGTATGTGATTCTACTCCAATAGATACAAGACCACAACTACTGCAACGAATAGAAGACGGGTGTAATGAATTAAAAGAAAACCACCACATGATATTAGCTTCAATTAATTTCATTATTAGAAAATGTCAGAAATGTATCGAAGTGGGTGGTTTGCATTTTGAAGAATTGTTGTAAGTACTTAACGTTAATTTTGTTTCTTATTTAGTTGCTGTTGCTTGGTAAATATATTTTTATTATTACTATTTTGATTTAAATTGTTTTTATTTGTAAAGGGTATTAGACCTCCAGGAAAAACTAAAACACGCCAGGAACACTACCTAACAGGTGGTGTAGAAACGAGTGTAAATAATTTTGTTGATGTGCTTACAAATTGCACTTACTTTTAACCATAAACATAAATATTCTTGTAATATTATGATTAGAAGTGTCTGCCACAAGGAGATTTTATTGGTATGAATAACTTGAGAACGGAGAATTTTAGGGAAAAAATTAGTCACGTTTTTCGTGCAATAAAATATAAATCAGTTACAAACACTTGTAAAAATGCAGTGGCGTAGGTTTTTTGTAAAAAAAGGGTGACCCCTGCCCAGTTGTACACCACTGGTTGAACCTTTAAAGGTCATATTTTAGGGAATGTAAGGCCTACTTATTATACATTATCTGTATCAAATTTTATTGAGATCAATTAATCGATTCCTGAGATACAAACAAAAAATCTATTTTTTAACAGCTTCAACAACCTGTATCTCTAAAACGGAGCCGTTCCAGACATATTATTTTAAAGAGCTCTATCTGCCCTCGAAGTTACCTGCATAAAATTCGGACCACCCTGTATACCAAAGCAGTTTTCGTGATTAAAATTCGAGATACCCTGTAGAAAGTTATTGAAGTTTCAGAATAAAATTTCTAATTTTGAGTTCTAGTATTGAATAATGAAATATCAGTTACAAATTTTATCGGTAATTAATTAAACTACCTGCACGGTGGAAATCCTCTGTAGACGACGTCGTTGATAGGGATCCTGGGGTAGAAATACCCGCGGCGCCCGAATCCGCGGGGCTATGCCCAGTGTCGTCGCTAGTAGAAGGTACTCTCAAGTACCTCGCTATTTCTACGTTTACAGGTACATGAATACCACTATCCTGGGACTTGTTGTCTCCTACTGTAGTCGAAGCCTTTTCCCACCTAAAAATAATATTCAAAACTTTTATAAACGAAATTTTGTTTTAAAAAGATTTATTGTAATGTTAAATTTTACGTAAAAATTTGACAAAAGTCCAGTATGTGAATATGTGAAGATTACATACAAATTATAACATGAGTTGTATGTAAGGTTTCAGATATCTCTACTACTTTTTTCCCGGGACTCGATAATTCTCGACTAGGAATTCCCGGGAATTCTTGAATTCTCGAGAAATTTCTAAAACTTAAAAAGTCATAATTTTGGTATTGCAATGCGAAATATAAACATGCTATTTACTTAACAATCATCATTAACATTTTTTATTTATTCAGTATTTTTATTAATTACTTATATTTCTACTTCAACTAACAAAACTAAATTAAACTTTGAATATATTCTTCTTGAAAGCATTTAACTTGTTTTTTTATTAAACACTTTCAATATACCTACTTATGTTTTTTTCAATGTTTTTGAATCGTAGCTTTCTTCCAATAATTATTAATAATCACTAATCATGCAGTCTTTTAATTAAACAAACAGTAGATAAGGAATTTAACCCAAGAAATCTTAAAAAAAAAACAAGCTTTAATTTAAAGATACAGAAGCGTTCTTCCTATTAATTTATCACTTATAATCACAATCACATTAACAAAACAAAAATAAAATAATCAACTAAATAAAGGACAAGGAACTAAATATTTTCAGAAACAACATTAGGTATCTGCTTATAATAAAATTTCTACACAGACTTATAACAAGGTACATTAAAAAAATAAGAATCAAAGTAAACTAAAGCCTTGAAAACTTAAAATAAATAAATCATGAGCATGTCAAGAACCCACTTTAACCGCTCAGTTATTTGTCGAGAAACGAATTGAACACATGAACGAACGAACTCTAGTCAAGAACTTAAGACGCGCGTGATTTTTAAATTTCTCGATTTCGCGACACTTTTCTTGTCTCGAGTAAGGCCAGATTTCCCGGGAATTCGCGCTTCGAGAAGTCTCGACCAGAAACCCTAGTTATATGTGATTTAGTATCTCCAAGAATATGGTACACAAAATAACCCTCCAATTAAACTGTTGCTAAAAAAATAAATTACCATAAATATTTTTTTTATCTGTCGCGGATATCTTGAATATTAACAATAATTAAAATTATATTAGTTCCTACCATGTATTCTTCTGATAAATGATTACATTATTTAGAATTTTTAGCGTTTTATGCACATAATCGTGGTTGGTAAATAAGATCATTAAATTCTATATTATTGTCACAACTATACATAGCTACCACAACTAAACATGTTGCTATACTAAGTGAACTCTCTCCTTTTACCCCGCCAATACACGAAACACATAAGCCGATATACGAAAAAAGGCGAAATGTTTCGATGCTGTACATCGCAAGCATAATTGTAAGTAGGAGTCATAAATCACTTCGAGGTACTTTTTGATGTGTAGTTTTGATTATTATGAAATACAGTGCTAATGAGATGTGTTCTTTACGAGGATACAAATATTATGACATCTCGTTGCGCCATCTGTTTTTGACAAGAATTAATTTGATATTACATGATTTTTCATTTAGTTATAAAAATCTAAGAACCTTTACATTCAGCGTATAGAATGTTGTTTTATACTATTTATTATAAAAGAAACCGTTGCGCATTAAACAACATATCATTTTTGCAATTAGGCCCTCTTTTTAATTTTTTAAAGCAAAGGAAAGGAAAATATGCAAAAAGTTATATTAAATGACAATCATGTAAAGACTATTTCTTCAATGTAAGTTTTTGCACAGGTATCTCACTTCATATGGTGCCAAAAAGTGTGTTTCTTCAATTTTTAAAAGAATAATAAGTTGGATGTGTTATCATGGTTAAATTATACAGGGTGTTAATGAATTTATGTATAAAATTTAAAGGAGTGAAAAAGGAGCATAAACTGAGTAAACTGATGTCACAAACTTGTATCGGAAGTTTAAGGTCATAGAGAAAAAAGCTAATTAAAAATATGTTTAAAACTGTTTTGGAACTGCTAAAATACATGTATTTCATCGTGGCTAGCACTTACAAAAAATTCTGTAACACTTTTTACGAGATTGTAAGTTTCTTATAAAGCCGGACTGTATTCGAAAGTCAGTTTGTAAAACATTGTAGTGATTGCTGTGCTATTTTTCGAGGGTACATTTAATAGCCGTATTTCCAAGTTTTCTTTTGAAAATGTCGCATTTATTTAGCAATCGCGAATATTATGATAGGTTCATAATTTATGGCGAAGCAAACGAAAACGTCCACAGAGCTTGTCAAGTGTACGTGCAAGATATCCTGAACGGCTTGCCCTCGCACCGCGAACATTTTTTGCTGTAGCGTAAAGAGTTTTGGACACCAGTGAAGTACAACCGCGTCGATGTCGCGACGATGACCCAGGGCGACCACAGAAAATCTTAAATGTCGAGGAGATGATTTTAGATCTCGTCGAAGAGGATCCGCATCGTAGCACCAGAAATATGGCACAGCAAGTAAATATTTGGCATTCTGTTATGTGGTGGACATTACGAAAAGCTCATTTGTATCTATTTCATATTCAACGTGTTCAAGCGCTTACTCCTGAGGATTTTCCACTAGGTTGAAGTTTTTGCGAATGGTTGTTTCAGGAACATGCAAGAAATCCTCAATTTACAGCGCAAATACTTGTTACAGATAAAGCATGTTTCAGTCGAAATAGTGTCCACAACACTCACCACTGGACAATCGAATATCCACACGAAATACGTCGTGGTGCCTTTCAGCAACAGTTTTCAATGAACATGTGGCCCGGTATCGTTAATGACAGTTTAATAGGACCTTTTGAATTGCCTAGACGCTTAGACGATGCTTCGTATCTAAATTTTTTGCAAAATCGCTTGCTGGAGTTATTGGAATACGTGCCCTTAAATGTTCGGCAAAAATGGTGTGGTTACTGCATGGCGGAGCCCCCCCTCACTTTTTTCAGAAAGTGCGCGACTTTCTAGACATTACTTTTCCCGAGACCTCATCCCCTTTAGACTTCTGTTTGTAGGGATATGTGAAAAGTGTTGTGTATTCCACGGAAGTTTGTGACATCGACCAACTGCGACATCGTTTTGTTGAAGCTTGTAATACGATTCGAGAGGACGTGGCGATGTTGCAACGCGTGCGAACGAATTGGATACGTCGCGCTGAAGCTTGTGTGCAAGCAAATGGTGAATACATCGAACATATTCTATGAAAATCAGCAGTTTTCAAAAGGTTGGTCCTTGCAATGTTGAGTGTATTTACCTCACTTTGACATAAGGGACATGTGGTAAAGATATTTGACATAAGTTCATTAACACCCTGTATATGTACACTAATGTCTACAAACTTTTTGCTGAGGTAAATTTTCACCTACCATTAATACATTTTTTCTCAGTGTAAGGGTGTTTTGAAAATTGTTTACATATTTCGATTTGGATATTATCTCAGAAATTCAGATGTAATAATAACATTCATAATAATGGATGCGTCAGTTGGACAAATACGAGCCAAAAGTGAGTCGTAGTTTTTTGTAACTTTAAAACTGTGAAGGAAATCGGCGCTAAGACTAACTTTGGTGGCCTATTTAGGCCCGTTATTCTATTTCATTGAATAAATATTGATTGTCTGGTCAAATTACGTCGAAATATTTCCCTCTGTTAGTTTGAATTGTTGATTGTACCCAAATTTCTATAAAAATAACAAGCTTTATAAAAACAAACCCACCACACCCACATTGGCAGCTAGTTCAACTATAAATATTTTTTAAAAATCCGTAATATGCTCTTGTTACATGTTTGTTTCATAGTACACATCCTTGAAGCCTTGTGAAAAATAAATTTGTGATATTACATAAAAGGAAGAGATTCTTTTGATGCCTGTGCACTGAATTTTATTTTGCTTTACTTTCGCGTACCAGAGAAACATAAAGAAATTATGTAACAACAAACCTAAATAAAGAATACGTCTTCAACATGTTCTTACAGTTTTTGGCATTATCAGCACTTGATTGTTTTCCAAACTAAGTTAACTACAGCGCCATCCTACATATTTCCAATAGAATGTTGTCACATGGTTTTGTGTTGCCTACACTTTTTTGAAGCCCATGTTTTCACCAAGTATCTATTTTAATATGTAAACTATCAAGTTCAAAGTGGATATGCTATTCCAGACAATATCGTGTAGATATTCTGTTTTTACACAATGTTCTAAATATAACCGGGTTTATTTCTTATTATATTTAGGTGCGATGTCTCTGAGAATAAATAATTTGTGTCGAATTTTCCTATTTATGACTCTAAAAATATACATACGATCCTCAACACCACACATGATACCGTCAGCTTTGCTCTCGAGAATATCGGATTATGAATGGATCTTACAACTGTACCTACTTAACAGTACGGGATCGCGATCAACGAATAGTGTATACATCCTGTTATTACTCGATATCAGGTCATTGGGTTCATCTGGATCTTTCAAGGAGTGTAAATACAGGGCATTCGGTAAATATATACTAATCTCTCGAGAGTGTATATGGGAGGTCAAAATAACACTGCTAGCCTCTATACATATATTTTTTCCTATTAAGATTCAAGTTTTTGGTTTTAACTTGTATATTTTGACAAAATTTGAACATAGTTTACTACAGATAATTTGTTGTTTTAATAGGTCATTTAATATTATAGTACAGTCATTGAAGCTGAAAATCAGCTGTAACCTCCGAATTCTTTGAAACTGCATGGATTTGCATGAAAATTTAGGATAAGGCTTATCTTGGGCTCAAGTTCAAAAGTGACATAAGCCCGATTAACGCTTTTTGTTTTTTAGGGGTAAAAACTACACCTAAGTGAAAAAATTTAAAAAATTAAGTTTTAAGCGGTTTATCGATAAAAATCTTGTTCAGGCACAAATATTAAATAATGTTCCATGTTCTCGAACATGTTTTATGATATATTTGATCTTTTTGACCCTTTATTTAACTCTTAAAAATGATGCAAACATAAATAATGATAAAAAATTACTTTTTAAAGCTTTGGAATGATTAAATTGTGCAATTACTTAAAATAAAAGTTACCTTATAGCCAATAAATGAATTTTTCCCTTTCAACCCCTAAAAACCACCCCTGTATTGACAAAAATGATAAAAAAATCCTTTTTAAAAGTTTGGAATGCTTTAACGGTGCAATTATTTAAAATAAAAATACCCTCATTGCTTATGAAAGAATTTGTATCTCATAATACTTTTCAACAATTTCAACCCTTATAAATGATAAAAAATTACGTTTTAAATCTTGGAATGCTATAATTGTGCAATAATTTAAAATAAAAATTCCCTTATATTGTTTATGAAAGAATATTTTACTTTTGCCATTTTCAACTCTTATAAACTACCCTTTTACCAATATTAATGTAAAATATTTTTATTATAATCGATTTTTAAATATAATCAATCATAAAAAGATAAAAAATTGCTACGCTGCATATAAATAATCACACTAAATTGTTTTACTTATTTTATTTATATAATATAATATACATTATATAAAAATGAGAAAGCTTATTTTGCTCCGAAAAAATGTCATTGGTTTTTTTACCATAACTCGGTTACTTTTGAACCTATAGTAAAATATTTGTTGAAAAAAAGCCACATTTATGTTATTTATAATTTTTTACGAATCTTTCATAGTTTCAGAGTTATTACATAAATAAGGCAATTTTTTTTTGAATAATAAAAAATACGTTTTCAACTTTTACCGTACATTATTAAAAAATACGCATTCTAAACCGGTCTAACTTCAGGATCGTATGAAAAACACTAAAACAAATGGAATGGAATGGATGGAAGTGGTACAGCGTTTACTGCTCATTTTTCCTTAAAAAATATGAGCAACACATCTGTTTTTGACGATAACTCCTTCAATTTTGCTCTAATTAAATTTTATAAGTGCTCATTTTTAAGGTCTTTTTGAGTACTACAAAAAACTCCAGGAGCGTTATACACGTAAAATTAATCATTTTTCCGTTATTTGACGTTGAATACATCGATTCGAGTATTCCCCCCAAAACAAGTTCCCTTCCACTAACCATATTTCGCTTTCTATAGAACACTTAAAAAAATTCTTTATTTATAAGCTGCATTTTTGTTCATTACACTTTTTTTAATAAAATGCGTAGTTTTTGAGTTATTCGCGAAAAATACTTTGAAAAAGTGTTTTTTTTTTCTCTCAAAATTCCAAGTTTTCAATCGTGAATAACTAAAAAACTATTGACTTCTCGAAAAAATTCTTCGAATATTTTTTACTCAAAATTTGATTCTCTATCGATTTCCATTTTGAAAAAAAATTCCACCCCCGAGGGGTGTCAATCCCCAACAGGGTGGAAGCTATGTCACTAATGTTCATTGACCTTTTCTCTAACTATCTGCCAAATTTCAAGTCAATCGGTTCAGTTTCAAAGAATTCGGAGGTAAAAAGCTTCAATGACTGTACTATTACAAGGTATCTGGAAAAAGATTTATTCCAAGATATGCAGGGTGATTCACAAATGGGGACCAAAAATGAAATCTCGTATTTTTGGTGAATTTTAAGGGGAGTCTTTCCTATAAAGTTTTTATCTAGGGCGCTCATTAAAAAGACACAGTAAACTTAAAAATGTTTTTTAATTTTTTAAAATAATTTAAAAACTAGTAAGTGAAATAATTTAAAATTGGGCACATGTAATTATGTAAACATTGCACAAAATCTGAGGGCTTTTCCTAAAATTTACATTCTCCAGTGGCGGAGATACAGGGTATAGGTGCCATATTTTTCTAAATAAAATAGTACATCACTGCTTTACGATAACAACTATGATATTTTCGGATTTGTACTTCGAATTTAGTTTATTTTGCCAAGATCAAAAACCTTTAGAAACCTTTAGCTTAAAAGAAATATGTTAAAGACTAAATATAAACCTTTATTAGGCACGTGTTCAAAATAAGGTATGTGCACGATTGTGTACCACCTCATCTTCAACATAGTGCGTCAATATTTTCCAAACGCCATCAATTCGTAGGTCGAGATGGATCTGTTTTATGGACACCTAGGTTGCCTGACATAAATCCACAAGAATTTTCTGTGCTGCCACTGAATGAAGTAATTTAGTCAGTGTCCGTAAATACTAAAAAAGGTTTTGCAATTAGCAAATTATTGACAAAACAGCAGTTCATGAGTTCATGAGTTTGTCCAATTGACTTTGTAATATTTAACAGTTACTTAAACATGCTATTTCAGTGAATAATTTAGGATCATCTACGTAAAACAAATAAGCGAGACACAGAGATCATTTATAAATATAGTAAATAACAGTGGTCCCAAATTTGATCCCTGAGGTACTCTTGAGGTTGCATGAAACTCTTTAGATTTATGACCATTATATTGAATGTACTGTATTCTGCTAACAAATTACTAAAGCCTACGTCATCTAATTTTTTTATTAAGATGCTAGTCTACATGATCAAACCCTGTTGAAAAATTTGTGTGAATTGTGTCTACTTGACATTTCCCATCTAATGTTTCTGATACTATTTGAGTACTCAACTTGCTGATAATAACGCAGGGGGAGCTAATTTTAAATGCTTGTCGACGTGATATTTTTTCTCATTTTTATTATGTAATTTTTAATTTTTAAATTGTTTCTCTTTGGCTATGACCAGCCCTTTCAAAGGGTTTTGGACTTGACAAAGTTATATAAACTAAATACAATTTGTAAAAAAATAAACTCTAGTTATTGCTGGGCATTTCAAAAGTTGATTTCTCTTGAAAACTGTTTATTTTGTCGAAATATACAGGGTGTTCTGAAAGTCCGTCAGGAAACTCCGGGAGGTGATTCTACGGATTAAAATAGTAACAGTATGTAATGAAATTTTTTTCGAATTGTCAATTGTTTGCAAGTTATAGCTTGTCAAATTTATTTTTTTTTATTTTTCTTCCTAAATAACTTATTTAATTCAAATTGAATTAGTCTCTCATTTGGCACACCCACTAAGTAGATTTAGCTCTATTGGAACAGTTAGATAAAAGTTTCATTATGCGCTGGTAGAGGGGACTTTACCTAGAACTCAAAATTTGTTTTGTTCATAACTTTTTTCTCCTGCAAGATATCACAGAAATTTAAACATTATTGAAAAGAGAAATAATATCAGAAAAAAAATGTGTACTCTTAATTCAAGTCGATTAATGTAACCGTTTAACAGGAAATCGCTATTAATCGCTATTAAAGTGTTATTAAACATCAAATTTTTGATAATTCTTACTGCAATTAATCCAGTTGCCAAGGTGTAATACCATTTCTTGCAAAACCAGCTTCGTTAGTAAATAAAATATTATTAGTAAATTCATTATCCTCAGCTTATTTTTCCACAACGTTATTACACAGCCGAAGAAAAATTTATTATGGTGAAAAATCAAACATACCTGCTTTATGCATATTTTTTTCTGCCTGGAAAGAGAAACAACTCTTTTCAATAATGTTTACATTTATGTACAAGAGAAAAAAGTTATGAATAAAACAAATTTTGAGTTCTAGGTAAAGTACCCTCTAGCGGTGCATAATGAAACTTTTCTCTGACTGGTCCAATAGAGCTTCATTTACCTAGTGGGTGTGCCAAATGACGGACTAATCGAACTTGAATTAAATAAGTTATTTAAAAAGAAAAAGAAAAAAAATTAACTTTGACAAGCTGTAACTAGGGTTACCAGATCTATTTCATGACAGACCCGGAGAAATTGATGCCTAAAAAAAAGGTCTTAGAAAATCTGGGAGTCAAATTGCTTTCGAAAAAAAGGACGTGCTCAAAGGTTCTGCAATTGCAATCGGGCAAATCGAATGTCTAAAACAAATGGATTTGGGGGGTAGGGTTTTTCCCGCAACAAACAAAACCCGGAGAAATGACATGTTAACCTGGAGCCCGAATATGTACCATCAAAAACCGGAGATCTGGCAAGCCTAGCTGTAACTTACAAACAATTGACAATTCGAAAAAAATTTTCGTTACATACTGCTATTATTTTAATCCGTAGAATCACCATCCGCAGTTTCCTGACGAACTTTCAGAACATCCTGTATATGGAGCACATTTTTTAAAGAAAAATCTTGAGAGTATCTACAAATTAAATTTGCAGTTTGATGGCACGACATCTGCCAAAATTTTGAAACAGCATGTGAGTTTTATCAGTAAATATACTACACCAACATTTTATCAAAATATACAAAATCAGAACCTAACATGTAAATCTCTAGGTGTTTGCGATATCGCCGAGGAGGAACGTACATAGATCAGTAGATATTTACCAGACACTCTGTAGACACGATTTGTAGAAAAAAATAACTGCGAGTATTATATTTACCTAAAAGCTGCTTTAACTTTAGTCCATTTCGAAACCTTGGCACTTTTATCATGATCACCACTGCTTTCGTCTTCTTGAACGGTTGTACTAGCGTCTAATGTCACTTGTTTGTCTGTGGATCCAGAACCACTTCGATTTCGTTGCTTCCTGAGTATAGACGGTCTGAGTCTAGTCGGCGTCGCTAGTTTTTGTTTATTATCTTTCCTGGACGAATCCGCTAGAATAGACTCCAGAATCGTCTCTGCAAAAGCCGTATCTCTGTCCAATTCTGGACAATCCTTTTCCGCCCCAGACAATTCCAACTGCTTCTGCATTTTTTCCAGGTTATTCAAATGCTCCAGGTCGCGTATTCTTCGATGCAACTTGGCATTTTGCTCGCGTAATTCCAGCATCTGTTCCATGAGCTTGTACAGCTTCTCCAATTGGTCGAAAGCTTCTTCCGTGGCAACAACAGGTGCAAAAGTGGACGTGCTCCTGGTGTAATTGGGGATGAGCGTTTCCAGGTACTCGAAAACGTCCCTTTCCTTGTCCTTAGACCTGGTGGGGTCCGGCGGCGGAGTTGGCAGTTTAGTCTTGTCATATTTTAGTTTCTTCGTTTGTTTTTTGGGAGGCGTTGCACTGTTGGCGTCCGTTGGAATGTTGTCGCTCATTTTTTTCACATTTTTTAAATGCTTGGCTAGAGAACCGCTGTTACGAAAACCCTAATAGCGAGACGGTTTGGAAAACTCGGGTTGCTCGAGATTGAAAGTGAATTTCCAGTATATTTAGCCGTTGCGAATGTAGGTCAACGCAAACGCGCAATTTTTTACACACCGTCTATTGGAAAATTTATAAGCGTAAACTTAGAGAAAAGTGTCGGTAGGAAGTAGAATATACGTTCTCCGCGCTATCAAAATATTTATACGGGTTGGGAGAGTAATTGGAGGCGGTAGGAACACAATGAAATTAGGATACCGCCGCGATATACATTATAAAAAACAAATCGAGCGCGGCGATATTTCAGACACTTATTTTTATTACGTATCTTAAAAATATCCTCTACTAGACAGAATGTGTCGCGGGCCGCATTTCGTGAACTTCTCTGGACTAAAAACGACCATTTCTTTCGGGCACTATTTTTACACTCTCGTTGCCACTTACTTCTTGCAGTTTTACATGATTGTTTGGGTTTTTCCGAGAAATTTAAGGCACCGTGACGCCGAGGACGTCTGGACCGCGATGAGACTGACCGGGACCGACGCTCAGAGCGACGCTAAGCGTACTTGTATCTGGATATACTTAGACTGGCCTGAAACCTGTCAGTGGCGCGCCACGGCGTCTTTTTTTCCATAATATGGATAACTACAAAAATATATCATATTTTTGTCGATTTCTAACGCGATATTTCTATGTTTGGAATTATATCAAAAACTTCAACTACTGTAAACGGAATTTAACTGTTATTATTGCAATTTATTCGCCTCGTCACACTTGTCATATTTAATTATCACTGAAAGAATACTCGACCCTTCATAGCCTAACTTCGTTCTGTATAGAGTGTCAAAAAATAATGTAGCGGATTAGAACGGTGGAAATATTTGTTTTAATTACTTTTCGGAACTGTGGTAGACCAGTTTTTTCCAAATTTGTTTTTCTGTTTGTATGGCGAAGCCGATGGTAAAATTCAAGAATACATACACGTTCAAAAAGTGTAGTTTTTTTAAAGGTAAGGAGTTGACTTTCATAAATAGACCATACACCAATGTAGAGAAGTATGTCATTATAGCTGAAGCACCAAGATTAAAATACCGAGCCGCAGGCGAGGGATTTTTAGGTGCCGAAGCTATAATGGCACTATTCTCTACCGTGATTTATATAGTATTTTTTCCAATACTAGCTACTACACCTTAAATCGAGGTTAGTTTAACGAAATTTGCTGATATCATGTACAAGAATCAAGTGGGTACTCTTTTGTTTGAAATCAAACTTTGCGACATTTCACACAAATAAATTTGCAATTAATTTGACATTTCGCACAAAGAAATTTGCAATTCATTTAATTTAAAGCTATAAATCATGGAAAGTGAAAGTGAAATGGGCTGCACACCCCCTGAAGTGAGGAAAATGGCAGATAATGTTGATAACCAACTCCTGCCAGAAAAGTCCAAACATCTTTACGTAAAAGCATACACAGTTTTTAAAGATTGGTGTCTTACAAAAAACGTCATCAATGCCTCAGAAAATGTCCTACTAGCATAGTTTAAAGAGTACGAGGATAATAAAAAGGCATCCAGTCTACTTTTTCAATGTTAAAGGCAACCCTAAAATTAAAAGAAAATATTGACGTTGGAAGATACTATAAATTAATTGCATACCTAAAGCGAAAGAACACCTCTTACAGACCCAAGAAATCGCCTGTATTTTCAGAAGAGGATATTATTAGATTTCTCACTGAAGCACCTGATGCCGCCTTTCTGACAGCAAAGGTAATTTTTTTAGTAAACTTCTAAAAACTCACTAATTTCATACTCTATAGGTAATTCTTGTCATTGGGATTGCAGGCGCCTGTATTTGTAACTTTGCAATATGTTGACGAGTGATGTGGATGTTCGAAGCGATATAATTATAATAAAAATACCTACCAGTAAGATTGGTTCAGCCAGAAAATGTGTCGTGATGAAACCCCCTGTCGTCATCATGCGGTTCAAACTCTTGCCGTTGAAGAATCTATAAGGTGGACAATTCAGAAACATCAGTACGAAGATTAGCCTTGATGGAACATATCATTACTCAAATATTGTGGCTCACGCTTCATACACAAGTTGTTGTATCGCTACCCTGTTCAGGTTTTTGGTTCAGCAGATTTTACTGCACGAGTAAAATTTGTAGATCGTTTTTGGACAAATTAGTTGAAGCTCCAGGTTTCTTTTATTAACTGATGAAGCAGGCTTTACAAAAAATTATATCATAAAACACATCAGTGGTCAGATGAGAATCCTCATACCATGATGGTGTGGTCCAAGATTTAAGGAGATATATTAACATTTATTTTACCCAAACGTGAATATTACACTAACAATGTCCATATTTTCCCTATTTCTTCAACTTGTGAATCAGCAACAAATTATATACTTCGTATATGATGATGCCCCAATTCATTTAGTTTTACATGCAAAAAATGGCTTAAATAATTATTTTGGTCACGATTGATAGGACGTGGTAGACTCCATACTTAGTCTGCAAGGTTTCCGGAACTGAATCCACAAGACTTGTACTTGTGAAGCCATCGTATGTCATTAGTGTATTCCGTACCAATTGTTGATGTTCGGTACAGTGTACATATATTACCCCTTAGTACTGCAATTGCAATTATAGCTCTGATAGTACCTGCTGCAGTACAATTGTATTTAAAGATAATCCACAAAACAGCGGATAACTTTACTTTTGTATGAATACGTAGGTATGCCTTATCGTTTTCTTTTCTGTAGTATTGGCGTAATTGTTCCGAAAAATTTTGCCTACGCCTCGCTGAAATCTGTTTACGCGCAGATTTATCTATGTAGTTATAATGAGGTTATTCATTTTCAATAAATTTTATATAGATTTTATGAACGTACTATAAAACAGTTAGTTTCCGTAAATATGAAATATCATAAAGGTTATAACTAATTACTATCCAAAGTTGATGAAATTTTGTACGAGGTCTGTTCAGAAAATAGTCAAACTTTTTAAATTACGCGCTAATGGAGATAATTTGTGATATGCGATGGGCGGGATTGCATTAAACATAACCGCCTCTATAACGACATGTTCTTGTACTCTATTCAATTGTTATTTGAGTGCAACTTGTTTAAATGTTAGTGAGGATGGAAAGCAAAATTTTGCGTGAATCTGGGAAAAACTTTCATGCAAACGTTTCAATTTTTGAAACAAGCTTACGAAGAACACTCTCTGGGTCGTACAGAATGTTACGAATGGTTTTCACGATTTAAGAGTGGTCGTCAGTCAAAAATGGTGAATTTCCCCATAAAACAATAGCATAAAATAAAATATTATGAATCAAAGCAAAGTATACCATTCTCATGGCAGTGTTATCTAAATATGGCCTTATTTGTGATGACAACTTGGAACAAATTCTTTGAATATGAGGTAACCAACACAAACTAGCATCAAGAGTGACGCCGAGTAATTTTACCGGCTCCATTTTCCCAATCCGCCTATCAGTAGAGAATAATAACTTATGGGTCTTACATTCATTTAACTTTAAGTTATTGCTAATAAACTGCTTTAGATCTATTAAGTGCCTCATCACACAAAAACACGTTTCTTCTGGTAAGTAAAGTGGTATCGTCAGCAAATAGGACACATCTCGCTTCTACCAATGACGATGGAAGGTCATTAATATACAGAAGAAACAATAGTGGACCTAGAACAGATCCCCGCAGAACACCAGATGAGATAGGCAGCGAATCCGAAGTGACACTATTGAGATAAACATATTGCGTCCTATTTGTTAAATATGATTTAAATAATCCTAAAGCAGTACCACGCACGAATTCCATAATGTTCCAATTTTACCATTAATATTTCCACATTAACGCAATCAAATGCTCAATCAATATAACAGCATTAGTTGTGGAGCCCTCATCAAATCCATCAACTATAAAATCTATAACTGCCAATAAAGCTTTGATAGTGGAACAATTCTTCCGAAAACCATATTGTGATGTTGAAAAAATATGTTTATGAAAACTATTCTTGAAAATAGGTCTACATTTATAAATATTTCGAATGTCCCTCTTAACAAGTTACATTGAGTTAATGATATGAGGCGGAAGACTATGGTGAAGTATCCTTTGCTCATACACACATCCGTTTTCTATTCTAACTCTGAACTATTTATTTACATGTGTCGTTGAAACGAATACAAGGTGACAATTTACAAGCGGTCGATAATTTTCTGTTTTTATGTTATTGTTAAGATTTCTAATTCGTGCCGAAGTGCGGTTATTTTTAGATTTAAGTACTACGGAGTTGGAACGTTAATTCTTCTGGCGTAACCTCCTTAGTCAAAAACGGTTTCGGGAATGCAAAAAATGCTGTTAAACGTGTTTATGGTGCATAAAAATTTCGAAGTACTAGCCACTACAGCACTGTAAATTGTTTTTCGTGACATTTTTGAAGCATGGATTTTTTGGTTGGTTAATAATTATTTGGAAAGATGTGAATCCATTCCACAGGGTGTGTCAGGAAACCGTGATCATACAACGTCTAAAGATTACCGAGGAAAAGTAATTGAATTTTAATCAATTTACTTCGACCCAAAAATGTTTTTTATGGAAGTTTTACTTTTGAGATAAATTTTTAATGATATATAAGAATCAATATAAGCAATAGAAATTATGTTTAATTATTTATTTATTTATTTATTTATTTATTTATTTTATCTTTATTTATCAATACAATATCCAACGAGCGATAAAGCCCAGTTACAGGATAAGGAGAAGAAGCAAGAAGTCAGTCATCAAAATGATGTAAAACAAAAGAAACAACAAAGAAGAGTGTCAAAGATACATACATAAAAGTTAAAAAACATTAAAAAAGAAAAAAAATAACAGTCACTAATTAAAAACAGACAATAGACAAAACTAAAGTACAATAAAAGTCACAAAATAAAAATCAGTTGCGTACATTATAAACCTGCTTAATACAACTGATGGTAGAACAGAATAAATCTAACCGTGATTCAACTTCTAGGTAGCTCGCACACATCTGATGAACAGGCACTGCTTTGTACAAATTGGTTCGACCTTTTTTTAATTCCAAAAGATGCCTATTTCTAGCATTCACTCGAGGAACATGAAAATCTACTAGCCTCAACAAATTCTCACATTTTATTAAATTATTGAGCAATTTAATCAAAAATATAACAGAATACATTTTTCGGCGTTCTGCGAGACCGCACATGTTGAAGCGTTCGAAAAATGCCTCCTGCGGAAAGCCCCTCGGCGTGTAGTGACCATCAAGCGCGAACACCGCTAGTTTAAAAAACCGACGTTGAACTCTTTCTAAGCATGACACATGAATAGAATAAATAGGAGTCCAAACCAAAGACGCATACTACAGTCTAGATCTGACCAGTGCACCGTATAGCAGTTTAAAAGTGTTGGGATTCCGAAAACCCGCCACATTCCGCACGACAAAACCCAGGTTCTTGTAGGCAGATTTAACTATAAAATCCATATGCTGC